GCTTGTAAGTACTTTGCTGAAGAAAAATAGGTACCCATTTTGCAGAGGTCTCTTAGAAGAGGCGTTGTTGCATAAGGAATTTTTATTTATTTATTTATTTATTTTGACCTCCATATGTAGGCATTTTTAAGAGCAATTTCCTCCATGGATGCCATTTTTGCCAGCAATTTTCTCCCAACAGATGGATTTTACATAATGCATGGGACACATCACTTTATTAGAGGAGTGTGTGGCACATTGTGATGGGGTATGAAAATTAAAGATTAATTATGCTCCGATCTCACATTCTCCATTCAGAAAGAGTAAATAAAGCCATCCAGAGTGTGATTTCCCCCATCCCTCTTCTAATAATGGGTTTGGAAGGGAAGGGGAGCTTTTCATTTTTAAATAGAAAGGAAGACGTGGCAAAAAGGTTTAATAATAATAAATACATAAATTCTTTATTTAACAATCTTCCAATGCATTCGGTAGCCAGTTTGGGGGAAGGGCAAATGAGAGTTCAAATTATCTTTACCGATTAAGTCCATGTAGCGATTTCTGTACCAGGATATGGTCAAAAAAAGTCAAGGTGGCAGAAATTTAACATTAAATTAAATTAAAATTTTAATTAAATTATCATTAGTTGTTTGACCACGTCACAACCATATTCCTGTTCAATATTTAATCCTACATCATCAATATGGGTATGTCATGCCCCTGGTGGAGACTGACTCTGAGGGAGAGGAGGAACAGCTGACAGGGAGTGGAAGTGTGGCTCCGGAGGAGGCTGGGGAAGGGCAGAGTTCCGGCTGGGCAGTTAGAGGAAGACCCAGGCCAATCCCCTCTCCATCCTAGGGCACGCAGGGAGCAGAGGATAAGGGAGAGACATGGTCTACTGAGGGGGAGAGGGCCTTGATCCTCTTCATGGGCTGCAGCTGTGACAACTGGATAAGAGGACGGACATGCATACAGGCGAGTGCTGGAAACAAAGCATGGAAATATCTCTAGTTTATAGTTCCTCTCTAAGTTTGGCGTCCTTCCCAGTGTGTGTTCTGATATCTGTGGATGTCTTCCAGCCCTTATCTTGCCTGATTTGTGTTGTTTTTTACTCTTTATAATTTAAACGGCATTTCCTCCTTCTTGTAACTGTTTGTGTGGGAGTTTTTTTGTCTCCAGTCAAGGCTATTCGGAGCTTGGAAGCAAAGTGACAGAATAAAAGGGGCTTCACCTGTTTTTTTGTGACTGTGTTTATTTTGTATCCCACCCTGGGTCATCACAGAGTACTTCCTTGGTACAAGTCTTCCTGAACCTTGTTATTTTTTAAATGAGGAACTTAAAAAGACATTTTAAGTCATGCTTAAAAAAAGAAAAGCAGGCGCAAAAACATTTGTGAAACTTGTCCTTCTCTCATTTTGACTCCGTTATCAAGTCCAAGGACTAATTAAGTTCTGTGTTGTATTGCAGGGGTGTCAAACTCAGCATTGTAGTTCTCCTCCATGGGCTGGATGCCTCCTACAGCACCTTGCCAGTCCAAAGGAGGCACGGGGCGGTCTGTGTGTGGCCCCCTGCACTTCATTTTCACTCTCCACAGCCTCCTGCAACACTCTGCTGGCCAAAAATGGGCTGCGTGGTACATTTTGGGGCCCATTTTCTGCCTGTTTTCAGCCTGTTTTTGGCCCATTTTTGCCCTGTTTTAGGCCTGTTTTCAGCCCAGATTTCTGCCCATTTTGGCCTGTTTTTCAGCCCATTTTTCAGCCTGTTTTCAGCCTGTTTTTCT